GCTACAAAGACACTAAGTAGCTGGCTTACAAGTTTCCAAGGGGAAGTTTAGTTTCAGAGCAAGGGAAGGCAAAGGTAGACACCCCATTGAATAGTTTTCTGTTGGGAGCAACTAAACTTAAGGTCTCAGACTTAGGGGAAGTTTAACAAAGGACTGCAACTAACCAGTTGTGGTCTAGAAAACCAAGATGGTCCCCGGTCAGCTGCCCCTGAGGAACTTGCAAAGCCTGCCTCAGAAAACAAGGAATTTGTACAGTCTTTCCTTGTTTGCAGCCATAGCCTTCAGTTTAGTCTGCAAAAACATCTAGCTGCCCTATCTGTTTCCCTAGCAACTACATTCCTCTGATAAATTCCCACTTATTGCATGCATCAATAACACCAAATGTTATTCTTTTCCCTGCCCCCAGCACTCTCCTTTGATATAATAAGCATTCTAAACTTAGGTAGGTGCCACAGTATCTCCATCAGAGTGCTGTGTCCCACCTGGTCCCAACTTTACTATTTCATTTTGCGCCTTGTGTCTTTCTTTTTTTCTAATCTCCCATCACCCCTACTCAGGTTTACGTGACAGTTTTCATTTTGTCTAGATGGATATGGTGAAAGGAGATGGGGATAGGATTTTTTTTTTTTTTTAATTAAACAGTGAGTATTTGTTATGATTAACTGCAATTGTCACAACTGTAAAGGTAGAAGTTTTGTAACAAAAAGTGGGGCATAGTTAACCTTGCATTCCAGGAAGAGAGGACCCTAGGACCATCAAGAGAGAAGAGCAGAAACATGAGATCCTAACCAGAGAAGCAGTTGACACGACAAGACAGTGGCAGAAGTGATGACAAAGAGAGCTACAACAGCTGAGAACTCTAGACTCATGGAAACAGAAAGGCTGTGTGCTGACGGGCAGGAGCCTGGCTTATAAAATATGCTCTTTTGTGGTATTAACGATTGTATATTCTTGCGTGTTTTTGCATATATCAAGGGAGAAAGGGGAGGGAACAGAGGCAAATACAGTTGGATGACGTTACATGTAGGGGATTGTAATCATTGCAATGAAGCAAAGTGCAAGTGGTTGAGTGTAAAACCAGTTTTCTGCAGTGTAAACTATCACTGAATTTATAATAAAAGCTTTAAAAAAAAAGAAGTGTCTGTTAATATTTAAGCAGTATAAAGCAGTTCTGAAAGTGTGGTTCGAGAACTTCTGGGGATCCACAGAATCCTTTGCTCAAAAGTTATTTTCATAACATTAAGAAGGAGAAAACCAAACTATTGTCACTGAGTGGACTCTGAGTATAGGACATTGTAGAAATGCCCTACAGGTTGTTAGCATACAAGGGACCTTCAAAAAGTTCATGGAAACTACATACTATATTATGCACGGATTTCAAAATTTTTTTGCACTAAAATAAACTCTGTACCCTGGTAACACATTGGGTTATTAACCACACGGTCAGCTGTTTGAATGCACCAGCTGCTCAGTCGAAGAAAGATGAAGCTTTCACCTGCCTTAAAGACTTAAAGCCTCAGAACTGACTCCATAGCACACAACCACCACCACCACCACCACTTGTTATAAGGGACCTTGGTGGCTATTTAGGATAAGCACAGGACTGCAAAACCGTAAGTGGGTGACTCAAACCCACCAGCCGCTCCACAGGAGAAAGTTGCAAGCAACTAGCCACATTTTCCACGTAACACCCTCTGGTGGTAGTTGGTGTTTATGTGCCGTGGAGTCAGTTCTGACTCTTAGTGAACCCTGTAGAGGGTTTCCGAGGCTATAAATCTTTATGGGAGCAGAAAGCCTCATCTTTCTCCTGTGGAACAGCTAGCAGTTTCGAACTGCTGATCTTGTAGTTCACAGCCTGATTCGTAACCACTACGCTATCAGTAACACCCTGTAGCACTTCAAAAATTGTCTAACTATGGTTATTCATAACTGAGTGCATAGCACACATTTCCTTAGCAATAAGCAAAGTGAGAGTCATACCTTCAACGAAAATGACTTGAGCTTTCAAGAGAAAATGAAAATATTGGAAACTTATATTCATCCCTATAAATGTAGCACTTCCTAAAATGGAAATACTTTTCTTGAATATAAGATCAATGGCAATATTAACAAATCAACAGTTTCCAAATAAGCAATGCCTAATGGTACCAGTCAGTCCTGGTGTGGTGCTGAGGGCTGATGCATCAGACTGCAAAGTTGTTTGAACTGCAAGGATGGTGGTTCAAGCTCACCAGCTGCTCCTTAGAAACCCTAGACAGGGTCACTATGGGTCAGAATTAACTTGATGGCACTTAACAACTACAACAATGGTACAAAATCAAGCATGTATAAAATAATTATTCAAATTCAAGATACCAATGAATTTTAATGGAACATAGTACATACACTATGGGAAGCCCATCAATGTGGCTACACTTCTCACTAAAATAGCTTTTGGGAACTCATTTTGTTTTTCATTTAAAAAGGTGTTATTTCTTAACAAATAATGTTTTTGTTACTGTTATTTTAAATACAATAATAAATGCTTCTTTAAGATTGTTTTCCTTACTAATAGAGTAAACATTGATATATATAACCTACAAAGACAAAAGCTCATTGTGGTCTTCATTAAATTTTAAGAGTACAAACAAGTTTGAAACAGAAAAAATAGACAACCTGCTGGTATAAGGAATCATAAATAGATACATTTCATATTCCGTATATCACAATATTTGTTAGAGAATAGAACCCCGATTTCATCTAAGATTGTCCTGTAATTTTAAATACTCATGAAATGAAAGACAGGTGTACCTGAATTTGAAAGAGTTAAAAAAAGTTTTTAAATACATGTTTATTTATATCATTACTGTTATACAGTTATTTTAACTGTACCTTAACCAAATCTCAGAAACAAAATAACCCAAACACATAGTTCAAGCATTATTACAAATGAAAACCATAGGGAAAAAAACTGCAAGATTAGTCTAGTCCCAAATAGGAAAAAAAAAAAAAAAAATTACCAAACCCATATCATCAGCTAAAATTCCTCCATGGACATTTTCTGGTCGATCCTTCTCAGAAAAATTTGTTATTGTGTTATAGTATAAGTCATTTCTCTGTTCCCAGAATGGTGGAAGTTCTTCACTGTTTTCCCGTGAAACCATCCACATTAGTGCTTGCTTTTGATGTGGAAGTAATGGTGTTTCAATAGCCTATAAATATAAGAAATCTTATAAATAAAAATATAGTTAAAATCTTTGTCTAGCTGCAGAATCTGAAAAAAACAAAGTTGACCTTATAAAAGAAAATGTATAAATTAACAGCAAATTTTAAATTTCTAAATAGTTTTAAATAGAAAAGTATGCCTCAATACCTCAGATGGTTCCATTTCATGAGTTTTATCATCTTCTTTTAAATCTTCAAACAATTTATCAAATTCTGTTTTAAGCTACAATAAAGAATAAATCAATTAAAGTTAAAATTACACTTATTTGAGTGATTTTAAACAATGTTACTAAGAGATAACACCAAATTGAAACAAAATTTTCTTTGGGATACTATATTGATCATTGAAAGCAGACTGAATAGGTTGTTTCAGGCATTAAGAGGTAAAATGGTGGCAGCATAAATGATACAAAACAGAATTATAAATCCTGGTGTGGTATTATGGATTAATGCCCTAGATTGCAAAGTCAGTTTGAACAGCAAGGTCAGTGGTTCAAGCTCACCAGCCACTCCTCAGAAACCCATAGGGTTGCTATCAGTTGGAACCGACACGAAGTCACTAACAATAACAAATATAAATTTGGATAAGACTTGTAAAACCTTTATGACATTGTATCTTGAAATGAAGGAGCCATGGTGGTGCAGTAAGTTAAGGTGTTTTAATTGGTTTTGTATTCAAACAATCGCACTAATCCAAAGGCCAGAGATTCTAATCCACTATCTGTGGGAGAAAGGTGAGGCAAATCTGCTTCCATTAAAGATTGCAGCCTCAGAAACTGTGGAACTATTCAGTCATACTGGGTAAACTATAAGTCAAAATCATTTAAAAGCAGTGTATCTGTATGTTGAAATGTCAAGGGATAAACTCAATTTAATTCTAAGGTTCCTTTTGTCATTAAAATTATAATCCCATTAGTGATACTCAAACCATTTTGGTATATCCTACCATATTAATTTAAATCTTTTTCAAGTAAATGAAATTCCCAGTCTTTATTATTGCAATAAAAACTTACCATGTGCTAAAAGATGTTAGGATGATTTAGTTAGCTATGTTTTTTTTTTAAAGTTTTTATTGTGAATTGAGTGATAGTTTACATGGGATAACATCGGTTTTACACTTATCGGTTCACTGCAATGATTACAATCTCTTTCGTGTATCACCACTCAACAGTATTTGCTTCTATGCCCTCTGTGTTTTGGCTTTTTGGGGGGGATAATTTAGTTAGTTCTTAACGGCAGCATATGTTATAGCTACTTCTATACATTAATATGAATGACTCGATGGCAATGGGTTTTAAAAATTAGAACTTAAGGTTTGCCAACCAGAAATAGGTTCAAGACCTTTTAACAACAACTCAGAAATTTTTTAAAAAAAACTATTGCTGTTATGTGTCATCAAGTCAATTCTGCCTTGTAGCGACCCTATATAGGATTTCCAAAGAGTAGCTGGTAAATTTGAATCATCAGCCTAAAGCTGATCCTACAGCACCATGCCAAAAGACAAAAACACTAATAGGTAACCGAAGGCATGTAATTTTTTTCATTATTTGTAGACTGATTACATTATTTTAAGACATCTGTTTTCAGTGCATACCATGTGTCCGTCTCAGCATAATGGTATCTTGGATTATAAATTAGACAAATTAAAACTATAGAGCAACACCAAAGATTTGAAATTAAATTTTTCAGCATTGCATCGGCAACCTTATAATGAGGAATAAGTTTTAAGATTTAATTTTTTTAATAAATACTTAGAAATTTCATTTTTATGTTATAAAACTTTCAGATATAAAAAACATGTCATGTATAATCATGTCTTTATGTATGTACAAATAAGTGTGTATGGAATATGTTGTCACTGTTTTCTTTTTACATAAATATTTACAAACTAATACATGTGTCCATAAACATATTCCATGTTTTCTACAATATGCTCATGTAACTTAGCAACATAAATGAAGAACATTAATATTAGTATATACATTTTTCTTTAAAATATCAATTTACAATATTTACAATGCACATTTAGATTAAAAAATAAGAGAAGCACACCTGTTCAGTTGTCATCTGTACTGCAGCATGAACCGGCATACTATAGCTTGGTCCTGCTCTTCCAGAGCCCCAACTACTTTCCAAAGAGAATCCCAAAGCTATTAATTTACAAAATGAAAACATTAAAATTAACAAATGAAATAGGTTTTTTTTTTTAAATCACAGCTTTTAAACTCGTGTAAACAAACATTAAAAACTTCCTTAATGTTTCTTATTAAAATGCTAAACCCTAAATCATCTAATTGTTAAAATAACTACATTATCTAAGCAAATTCTTGCCAAATAATTCTTTTCTGCTTGTCTACAATTTATCAAAAAAAAAGTTCCAAATTCAGTATTTTCAAGTGCTACTATGGAAACCCTATACAGGGTCGCTATGGGTCGGAACCGACTCGATGGCACATAACAACAACAACAACTACTAAAATGAGCTCTGGTCGCGTAGTGGTTACAAATCAGGCCGCTAATCTCAGGTCAGCAGTTCGAAACTACCAGCTGGTCCACGGGAGAAAGATGAGGCTGTCTGCTCCCATAAAGATTTGCAGCCTCGCAAACCCTGTGCAGGGTCACTATGAGTCGGAACCAACTCCACAGTACTTAACAACAAAAACAACTACTAAAAGAAATAGAGTAAAGGATACATGAGTCACCTCCCTGCACATTTTTTGTAGTAGGTGTGCAACTTCCTGTGAACCTTTAATTATTTGAAAATAAAGTATTAAAAAAATAAACCAGGGCTTTCCTTGTTGGTGTTGTTAGGTGCCAGCGAGTTGGTACCGACTCACAGCAACCCCATGTACAACAGAATGAAACACTGCCCAGTCCTGGGCCAACCCTCACAATTGTTGCCATGCTTGAACCCACTGTTGCTGCCATTCTGCCAATCCATCTTGCTGGGGGTCTTCCTCTTTTTCTTTGACCCTCCACCTTACCAAACATGATAACTGTTTTATAATGTCACTGTGTCTTCTAATGTCAAAATAATAGTAAATTAAACCCTAAACTTACATTTTGGTGGAGGAAGCAATTTAAATCCATGTTTCTTCAACTGATCTAACACTGCTTTCCTATTTTCTTCTTTTCCCCAGAAAGCCATATGCAAAGGCATGGTAAAAGCATTGTTTGCACCAAAAGGAACTACCCTATTAGATTTAGGAGAAGAAAAAATGAAAAATTAGATGTTTTTGTTTTGTTTTTTAACCTCCATTCAGAATCTAAGTGGATCCATTCAAATTCTGCATGAAAATAATGTAAAAATGTAAACGGGGCAGCCCAGAAAAAGGTGGGGGAGAGAAGAGCACATGAAATAGAATAAAAAATAATCAGAAGACTGGTTTTTAATAACAGAATGACACAAGAAAGTGAGAAGGTGGGATCTACAGAGGATTTAAAACACAAGGGCATCCAGTGACAAAGATTATATAAAAAGCAAAACAATTTGAGAGAATAGCACTTTGGTAAGTCAGTGACAGCAAACCAATTTTGCTAGGAAAATGGGAAATGCTTCACAACAATTTCTGGTCCAGGAATCATTATAAGTTTATTCTCAATACCGTAAAAATTTGATGAATTTTAAAAAGGAAAAAACAATGGAAGACAAAGCTAAGCATTTATATTCTAAAGTCTTATTTTCACATGCTAAATAATCTAAATATTTAATGTTAAATCACAAACACAAATATTGAAAGAATAAAAGTAACTGAAAAAAGGATGGAAGTTTCAGAGAAAAAAAAAATTGTAGTGAAACTATAAAGTGTATGCCCATCTAAAGAAACAGCTGCTACACAGAGCTCCAGTCAACTGGTACTATACTGAAATGTGGGGCCAGAATTGACAGATGTCCAGTTGTTAAAAGAAAATCTTTATAATTGATTGTATTTTTTAAAAGCTTAATATGCATAAATTGGGAAATACTTAATATTTGAATATTAGAATTAAATGTTTTCAATTAAAAAAAAAACTATACAAAGTGAAACTCGGCTACATCTAATCACAGGCTACCAGTTTACAACCTCTGATTTGAAAACATCTAAGACTCCAAGACCTACATGGCCAAAGCCTTTGAGAAACATATGGATTTCCTAACATACCAATGAGAATCTGTATTTCATTAGAAAAGTGAGGATACCTATTTGATGACTGGAGTTGGAAAGTGAGATGACAGGAAATGAAAACTTTTAGTATAAAGATGTAACAATTCTCAGGTGGTACTGGTTACATAACATGAAAATAATGTCACTAAATTGTACATGTAAAAAAACATTGAAATAGTTAAGGTTTGTTATATATACCACAATTTAAAAACTGTTTTAGGGTGCCTACATAGGCTCTAGAAAGGAGTCTTAAACAAGTTCAAAGGTAACTACCAACTCAGTTATTAAAACTAAACTCTCAGTGCACATTACCCTTCAACTTGTGCCAACTTGTTGTCCATGATATAGGCCAAAGCAGCTGCCAGATCTTTCTTTACGTGGCCAACCTGATTTCCATTCACGTTGTTTACTTTAATCGCATTCTTATCATAGGCATTATTAGGCTCTCGTTGTAAAGCAACCATTTCATTATTATTAACCTAATAAAAATAATGAATAAACATTATTGTTTTATTTCATATTTTATCTGTGATTTGTATTTATTTTTTAATGCTTACTATTAAATATTAAGGAGCTTTGGTAGCATAGTGGTTACGAGTCAGGCTGCCAAGCTCAATGTCAGCAGTTCGAAACTACCAGAGGTTTCCCGAGAGAAAGATGAGGCTTTCTGCTCCCATAAAGATTTACAGTCTCGGAAACCCTGTGCAGGCAGGGTCACTGAGTTGGAACCGACTCCAAGGTACTTAATATCAATATTAAATACTGCTCATTTTAAAAGTATATTTTCTTAAACTCAAAGTACTGAAAAATTAAAGAATATATTTTATAATAACTTTTTGTAATTCTTTTCTAATTTACACTCATTGAGAAGTTAAGATATTTCTGATATCTAAAAGATACAGCCAAGTCTAAACTCACAGATTTCACACTATTTAAAATTTCTAATATCACAACTTGTAAAAAGTAAGCAACTGAGTGCATACCATAAGATAAGTAATGTTCTAAATACAGGTGACCCTTAAACTCAAGTTTGAATTGCACAGGTCCACTTAAATACCGCAATTATTTTTTTAATGCTGAATGATGCAATTATCTCTGCGTGAAAAGTTCACCTCTCTGGTAAATTGCTTATCACAGTTACAAGTGATCTCTCACAATTCTCATGAATTTTTCATTGTTTAGTGCCATACCATAAACCTTAAATAACACCATGGGATCCATGGGAAGTGGCACTAGTAATGCTGTAAGTGCTTCTAAGAAGCAGTAAGTCATGACGTTACAAAAAACTGTTGAATTGCTTGACATGTACCAGATATTGAGGTCTACAGTTGCGGTTGCCTTCCATTTCTAAGATAAATCCAGCATAAAGACCATTATAATAAAGGAAAAGGATATTCGTGGAACTGACACTGCAGTTATGACAGCAGTGTATAAAACCTTGCATTTTGTAAGATATCTTTTTATCTTGTATTGAAAATGCAGCTTTTATGTGAGTGAGATATGTAACACAGTGGTGGTGGTGGTGATGCGCCACTGAGTCGATTCCGCCTCATAGCAACCCTGTACATGAATTTACAGCCAAGGCTGTAAATCTTTACTGAAGCAGAAAGCATTATCTTTCTCCTGCAGAGCAAGTGTTAGAGTCAAACTGCTGACCTTGCAATTAGTAACCCAACTCATAATCCCCTATGCTACCAAGGCCTCTTTTTATATAATACATATAAACACACAAAATATGTTATTAATCAACCGTTTATGTTATCATCAAGGCTTCTGGCCAATAAAAGGCTATTAGTAGTAAAGTTTTGGGGGAGTCAAAAGTTGTGAGTGGATATGATTGTGAGGGCAGGTAGGTACCCCTAACTCCAGCAATGTTCAGGATCAAGTGTACATTATATGGATTGACTAATCAGAACAACTTGTAGGGCAAGAACTATAATTATCCCCATTTTACAGATGAAGAATTAAAGGACAAAAAGGTTAAATAACTTGCTCATGGTTAAAAAGTTATTAGAGCTGGGATTTGAACCTAGGCAATCTGCTTACTCAGTCTTAGTTTTCCAAAATCTTAAAAGTGAAAAAGGGCATTAAATTAGAAGACAAGGAGGAACTGGAATAAGAAAATTACATTCAGCCTTTAACTCATGCTATTCTCTAATTTCACTTGATTAAAAGTTGCCCTAAGTCCATACAGAGCAAAGAACAGTGAAGAAATTCCAAGACCGAAGGAGATAATTAGTCCAATGGACTAATAAACTATACAAAGCTCAGCTTCCACAATCCTGAGACCTGAACTAAATGGTGCTCGGCTACGAAAATCAAATGCTCTAAAAGAAATCACATTAGAAGGTCCTGGATAGAGTGGGAGCAAAATGTAGAAAACTCAAAAACATAAAAATAAAACAGGCTTATATAGATCAAGCTGACTAGTCGGAGAGAGACTTTTCGAATCCCAGAGACTATGGCCCTTTGTAGTTTGCTCAGGCCTAGAACTAAACTCACCCTCATGGCTCAAGTTTTAACCAAACAATACACATATCTGTAAGTTGAATGATAACACTAGGGAAGTACATATTCCTTAGAATAACCAACCATTTGAGATCAAAAGGGCAGCATTTGTCAAAGAACAAAGTTCAGAAGGCAGGAACCGGAAAAGAGGAATGGGAACAATGCGAAACACAGAGAGGAAGTGTGATAAGTTATGTTACATTGAGGGGATTGCAATTAGAAACATGAAGCAAAATGGGTATGAACTGGAGAATGGAAAAGTGATTTGCTTTGTAAACCTCCACCCAGTTTATAATAAAAAGCTAAAAAAATGAAAGTTGTCCAAGGGAAACAACTATTGAAAGACTTCCAAGAATTCTCTCTTCCATAAAAGCAACAGAAATTGGCAAAAATGCCAGAATCACTTTTTTAGAACCCTGGAAACTAGCAAAAGGCTTGCAGAAATCTGCTAAGTATTAATTCAAGAAAAAACAACTAAATTATTAGTGCCCTAACCCTACCCACTCCTGTCCAGCTACATAGCAATGTTTTAGAATAAAAGCCCATGAGCACTTCTGATGTGGCATGGCACTGAAGGATAAGCACTGGACTGGTAACCACGGGTAGGTAATTCACACCCACCAGCCAGTTGCAGAAATCCTATACACAGTCCCTATGAGTCAGAACTGACTTGATGTCACACAACAATAAGCACATCTGATGTAGCCTGACAGGCACCAGAGGCAGCAAAATGGAAACATTTCTTTATAAGTCTCACACCCAGGCATTGAATTGCTGTTCATGGTGATGTTATGGTTTAGAAAAGGATATTAGAAATTGGATGCATAACCAGATGAATGTGATCAATGTCACTGAGTTAAACATGTTAAAGTTGTTGAATTACTAATGTTTTCTTTTAGTTTTTTTTCACAATTAAGAAGTCTCATTCCCAAAGAATTATTATTTGACCAGTCTGACAGTATCTTAAAATACTCAACTTGCAAGTCTGTTTGTATTTGACCTAAGAGAAAAAAGGTAACTGCTGTAGTATAAAATGATCTAATAAATTAATTCACAATTTGATTACAACATACATGCATGTCCTCAGAGAAACATGTGGCAGAAACACCGAAGTGAATACATTACGGTTCTGGATGGAAGGTTTTAGGGTGTTTTAATGCTTTTTCTTTAAGCCATTTTAAAAATAATGAACATTTACTGCTTATAAAATGAGTATGAATTTTAAAATAAAAAAATTAAACTTTGATTTTTAATTGGTCTGCCACATTTTTATTAGTTTGCCAAAGTCATAGCAATTGTTCTAAGATCAAATAATGCTTATGCTAAGATCACTAATAAAGAAAGTCATTCTCTAATATTTTACCATGGCTTCAAGTAATGTCGATAGGACTACAAATTTTGAAAAATTAGCACAAATCAGAAATAGGAAAAGTACAAAAATGATATGAAATAAAAACTAATAAAATTTATGAAATAATTAGGTGGAAAAAAACAACAGAATTGAAGACTAATGAAAAATAAGACAAGTGAATAGACCTGTAATAAACATGGTTAAGGGAAATACTGATGTAAAGAAAAATTATAAAAAGAATTTCATATGAAGTAACAGACATAGTCAGGCGAAGTCTAGTATATAGAAAGACGGGCACTTGAACTAAAACTCTGAAACAAAACAAACATTTAAAACTAAAGCTACAAATAATTTCCTGAAATAAAAGAAAATTTGAACTTACTAAAAAAGTCAATACTAAGATACACCCTACATTAATACCGGAACTTCCAAGATAAGGAAAAAATATCCTTTGGTAAAGGGTCACTGTGAGTTGGAACCGACTAAATGGCACACAACAACCAAGTAACAGGGAGAAAAGTATAAAGGCCATAATTATAAAGCATAAAGGCCATAATTATGAACTTATTAAAAACTCAGGAAATATTGTTCCTTCCTATTGAATTTCCTCCACCTCTCATCTGTCAGTTTGTCATACTGTGATGGCTTGTGTGTTGCTGTGATTCTGGAAGCTATGCCATAGGTTATTTGAAAAATCAGTAAGGTAACCCATGGTGGGCAGGTTTCAGATGAGCTTCCAGATGAAGACAGACTAGGAAGAAAGAGAAACTGACTACTTCCAAATATTTAGTCAATGAAAACTTTATGTATAGTACTAAAAACACTCAGATGGAAAATGAGCCCCTCAGGTTGGAAGGCACTCAAAATGTGACTGAGGAAGAGCTGGCTCCTAAAAGTAGAGTTGACCCTGATGACGCAGATGGAGTAAAGCCCTAAAGACCTTCATTTGCTGATGGGGCACAACTCAAAATGAAAAGAAATTATCAAACACGCAATCAAGATGTATTCATAATTACTGGCGATTGGAATGCAAAGGAAGGAAACAAAGGAAGGATCAGTCGTTGGAAAATACAGCCTTGGTGATAGAAATGATGCTGGAGATTGAATGATAGAATTCTGCAAGACCATGATTTGTTCATTTCAAATACCTTTTTTAAACAACATAAAAGACAACTGTAAACATGGACCTCACCAGATGAAATACATAGAAATCAAATTGACTACGTCTGTGGAAAGTGACAGTGGAAAAGCTCCATATCATCAGCCAAAACAAGGCCATGGGCAGATTGTGGAACAGAATATTAATTGCTCATATGCAAATTAAGACGGAAGCTGAAAAAAACTGAAAACAACTATACAAGAGCCAACATATAACCTCAAATATATCCCACCCGAATTTTGAGATCACCTGAAGAATAGATTTGATATATTAGACACTAAAGACTTAAGACCTGAAGAGTTGTGGGATGACATCAAGAACATCAAACAGGAAGAAAGCAAAAGGTCACTAAAGACACAAGAAAGAAGGAAAAGAACAAAATGGATGACAAAAAAAGACTCTGAAACTTGTTCGCCAGCGTAGAGAAGCTAAAGCAAATGGAAAAAGTGAGGCAGTACAAA